AGTTTTGCATTACTCTTCCGCCCATTCCTGTAATTCAAGGCTTGTTTGGTTGGCAGTTGTAGCCTATTTTGTGCCCTAGATGCTATGAAAGATCGTTGTGATCCTTGGTCTATTAAGGCCCTATGTTTAAACAGCTCTTGGTTTCGATAGAGATGATTGCTGTGGTAGTAATACCTATTTTGTATTTCGTTGTATAGCGTTTGAGTTTTGTGCCTTTGAGCAACATGGTGTCTTTGGCAATTTTCGATTTTGGTCCTTAGAATTGTTGTTACAACTAAACCTGTGGTTCTTTTGTATAAGCGCTTCTTTGGGATGATATGGGAAATTTGCTGTAATGAAGATTGAGTGGTGTCTTTGTGACAATATAAACAATTGAATTTGCTTTTGCAATTTATATACTTATGCGCATGTGACAAGCAATTTGTACAAAGTCTTTTGATCTGACAAAATTATTTCGTTCGTCAACTTTTAAGTTTTAAGCTTCTCGCATGATTGTGTTTGTGCCCTCTTGTGCATAGTTCGCATGACGTATGATTGTTCTGTTCGGATGTGAACGATTGCGTTTATAACTTCTGTTTAATTTGTGTTTGCTACTAGCTTGGGGTCTATTGAAGCTTCTATTAAGGTCGTTTTGATAGTTTTGGGTTTTAATAATTTTGTGTCTACCCTTTCAGCGATTTCATACTGGATAGTTAGAAAATCTTTCATTGGCGGTGCATATATTTACCAGTATTGGGTCCCAGCTGTCTGTGGGAATATTTTGTGTCGATAGAACCGACAAATAATTTGAAACCTATGGTTTTATACCGTATATATTGATCCAAGAGAAGATAGTATAGTGAAACTGACAAGGTATCCTTTCCAGTTGCAAGAGTATAAAATGATTGGTTCACCCGAATTAGCTCTTTCTTACTTGTTATTTATTACCTATAACTTTATGAGACAATATGGATTTCCTAATTAATGTATGTTTATTTTTCAGTATAAGTTGCACTCAATTGATGGTGGGGAACATTCCACAACTGCACCAAATAGTGTAAGTGAAAATACTAAATAAATATATGTAGCAATAAATCTGACATTAATATATGAAAACGAATAATATAATAATTTGAACTGTTATGGACTAATTAAGTCCATTTAGTTATTATCATTCATATAAATTTTGATATTTATCCTAATTATTGCTGTGTTAAATTTTCAGTATCAGTTACGTCCACATAACGGCGCAGAAGATTCGACAACTGAAAACAAAAATGTAAGTAAAACTTAAGGAAATAGCGAAAAAGTTTACGCAAAATTCCTAATCATAATATAAAGTTTTAGAACTATACAAAAATTCATTCATTCTAGTATGCTCACCAAATCATAATAATGGACCTTTGCTACTTTGCATTTTTTTAAAATATTATGATTATGATTTACAGTTAATAGCTTTGTTGATATCAGCTATATTCGATTCGCCATTTCTCGCTTCTTCTCTTCTCATTTGGAAATAGTTATATGTAAACAACACCAAAGTTATCGAGCTGAATTTACTTATCTAGAATATTTTTAAGAAAGGGAGGTGCAGCAGATGGAGCTGGATGTTACCGATAACGGTGATGTCTCCATTGCATACTTTTAGGCGTATTTTCGCATATCTCAATGGAAGAAATTAACTGAAGAGGAGGCTGGTGATTCAAAGAATAGTATTTAAGATACACTTTTTAATGTCAAATAAAACTATATAAGATAATAAAAATTTATTACTAATAAAATATTATTCAATATTCGCAGTCATAGTATTAGTAACATTATTAATATTTTTTAAATAGGGTAGGGGTCCTGTTGAACAGTACCTCGTTTGACTTGAAAATACAATTAAAGTTAGGTATTTCCGTCGTATTATCGATGTAATAAATATCCACTTATTTGGCTGGCAATTTTAACATCAACTTCGCTGATAAAACATCAGAGCTGTTGACAACTTTCTTTCCGAAACTTTAATTTGAAAATGAATAATGATCCTCAAAAGCCACAACAAAATTGGGGACGCTATTTGCCAATATATTAAGAGGATATCAGCATCTTAAACTTATGTTTCTTATTTCCTACCTGAATACCCTATATGTATTGTAAGATACTAAAAATATTTTAAAAAATATTAACTTCTCATTTATTTAATTAAAGAAATACCAAAGAAGAACAAAATACTGCATAAAAAAAATTTATAATTATAGTTGCATCAGTTCAAAACAACGCTTTACCGCGGCAGTCCCGAGTGCCACACGTACTTGTTTTTTGTTAAGAGTAATTTTGAATAAGATATATTAATGAAACTTGGTACTCATGCAAGAAGGCTAGTATTGTATATCGGGGTAATAAGTCAACTGCCACGCCCACAAATCGCCTTTAATCGAAACTCAATAAATTGCCATAACTAACCTTCACAATATGGCACAATACTGTGATAACCCCACCCACTCCTCATATAACGGTTTTGATTAAAACTTATTATATAAATAAATCAGAGACTTCAAGTTTAACATGTAAGGTTAATACAAGCATTTGCATAAATTAGACAATGGGCGTGGCATTACCCACTTTTAGGTGAAAACCCATACCCCGAGATCTACTTGACTGATTTCAACTAAATTGATACATAATTATCCGTACTGTATATAGTACAAAATGGGAGAATCGATAAAAACCACGCCTACTTCCCATTAACACACATTTAAGTTCCGTCTAATTCTTTACATTCCGGTGCAAATGGATGGACCTTTGCTACTTTGCCCTTTTTTAAAATATTATGAGGATGATTTACAGTTTATGGCTTAGTTGATATCAGCTATATTCGATTTGCCATTTCTCTGCTCGCTTCTTCTTCTCTCTTGGGGAATAGTTATATGTAAAAGCAACAGCAAAGTTATCGAGCTGAATTCGTACTATCTAGAATATTTTTAAGAAATGCGAGTTGCAGCAGATGGAGCTTGATATGTTGCGATAGCGCTAATATCTCCATTGCACCGCAGAGGTGGTGAGGTCCTGCATATTTTTTTCTTCTGCTAATTAAAATTTTCGTTTTGTTGCTTTGGTTCGTGTTGGGTTTTTAATTTTAGATTTGTTTATTAAAAGTCTAAACATTTTTATTTTACAATTTCAATTAGAATTGCCGCACAAAAATTCGTGGAAAATTTTTTTGTTGTTATTGTTGTTGTTTTTTAGAAGTTTTATGTATATGTTTTTTGTAAAAAGTCAGTTTGGATAAGATATATTGATGAAACTTGGTACACATTTTTTTTTGACATCGTAATTCGGCTTGTATTGTAGATCGGCGTAATAAGTCAACTGCCATTCCCACAAAACGCCATTAATCGGAACCCAATAAATTGCCATAACTAACTGAATAATTGGGTGCCCACTTTAATGGGAAGCACATATTTAAGGTTTTGTGAATCACTTACACTCCCGGTTAATGTTACAAGTGAAAATACATAATATTTAAAATAAATATAAAATAGGGGAAATTTATTTTTTTTACACAAGTTATGTTACACAAACCAATGGTTTGACGAATTAAAAAATGTTTGTAGCGAGCTGGATTGTACAAGTATATTACGCAGTGTCGAATCGAATTGAGGTGCGCGCAGGATCACTATTACTTCGAATGAGGTGTATCTGCTGCGGAGACCATCCTATTTGTTTGATGAAGGGCGCGATGCTCTGGTGTGTTGAGTTGTCCCGCATGGTGATGTATGAGTGTGGTGTATTGTAGTGGGTTATACTAGGGTGCGCCAGTTCTTGCCGAGTAGAGTGGCGTGTATGTGTAGGGGAGGCTTATCTCATTTAAACATCCTGGACCCCCTAGGCGAATATTTTGCCTAGTATTACCCATATTGGCTGTAAATGTTGGAAGTATTTCGGCATGCTGCTGGTAGAGTAGCCGAGGGCGCTTAATCTTGCTAGAGTGAGATTTATGATTTTTACCCACTTTTTTGAAGTGAGATTTGCAACATTTAAAGGTGTTTCCCATAAACTACTCGGGTGCTAAAACGGGTCCGTCAATGTATCACATTGTAAATATGGTGATCCCTTAACTTTATTTTTGAAGTTTTATACATTATAAAAATGTTGTCAACTATCAGGCACTCTAGTAAGAGAGGTGTCGATTTTTCGTCTTCCTTAGGACAATTTTGTCATATGTTATATTAAGTGCGATTTTGGCAAGTAGTAGCGCGCCACATAACTCAAGATTTTTGAAGCAGGATTTTTGTATCATTATTGGCAACAGCCATCCTGCGGGATCGAAAAGTTACATATTTGTATTTTTAAACCTGATCTTGTCAGAAGGGACTCTGACTTGGTTTTTCTGTCAATTCGTGGAGTGTTGTAACATTGGGAATTTAGTGGTAGTCGTATGACGTACCGGCCATTATTTGATCGAGTAGTTGTGGCTTTGTGGAAGTCTTCACAATACTGATCTTTTTGGGTTGTAATTGATATGAGGGGGAGTTCTTCTAACTCCCAAAATTTTTTCATTTGTGAATTGAGGTATTCGTTGGAGATTTCCTCAACTTGAGTTGTCATTGTTGTAATTGGTTCCGTAACTAGACCACTTAGGATCTAACCGAAAATAGTATTTTGTGCCAATTTGTGTGCTTGAAATTTTCTCAACACCCTCGAGTATTATCTGAGGTATGAGATCGCTGCCTAATAGAATATCTATTTGAGCGGGGTTACTGCAGTTGGGATCTGATATGTATGATAGCTTGGAAGGATATTCGTTAGATGCGGTAAGACTATAGCTTCTGCTTTAATTCTCTTATCCGCTTGGGGGGAAATTAAGGTAATGGGACAGATTTTATTAGAGTTTTGCATTACTCTTCCGCCCATTCCTGTAATTTCAAAGTTGGCTTGTTTGGTTGGCAGTTGTAGCCTATTTTGTGCCCTAGATGCTATGAAAGATCGTTGTGATCCTTGGTCTATTAAGGCCCTATGTTTAAACAGCTCTTTTTGGTTTTCGATAGAGATGATTGCTGTGGGTAGTAATACCCTATTTTGTATTTCGTTGTATAGCGTTTGAGTTTTTTGTGCCTTTGAGCAACATGGTGTCTTTTGGCAATTTTCGGGATTTTGGTCCTTAGGAATTGTTGTTACAACTAAACCTGTGGTTCTTTTTGTATAAGCGCTTCTTTGGGATGATATGGGAAATTTGCTGTAATGAAGCATTGAGTGGTGTCTTTTGTGACAATATAAACAATTGAATTTGCTTTTGCAATTTATATACTTATGCGCATGTGACAAGCAATTTGTACAAAGTCTTTTTGATCTGACAAAATTATTTCGTTCGTCAACTTTTAAGTTTTTAAGCTTCTCGCATGATTGTAGTTTGTGCCCTCTTGTGCATAGTTCGCATGACGTATGATTGTTCTGTTCGGATGTGAACGATTGCGTTTTGTATAAGCTTCTGTTTAATTTGTGTTTGCTACTAGCTTGGGGTCTATTGAAGCTTCTATTAAGGTCGTTTTGATAGTTTTGGGTTTTAATAATTTTTGTGTCTACCCTTTCAGCGATTTCATACTGGATAGTTAGAAAATCTTTCATTGGCGGTGCATATATTTACCAGTATTGGGTCCCAGCTGTCTGTGGGAATATTTTGTGTCGATAGAACCGACAAAGAATTTGAAACCTATGGTTTTTTACCGTATATATTGATCCAAGTGAAGATAGTATAGTGAAATTGACAAGGTATCCTTTCCAGTTGCACGAGTATAAAATGATTGGTTACACCCGAACTTAGCCCTTTCTTACTTGTTATTTATTGCCTATAACTTTATGAGACAATATGGATTTCCTAATTAATGTATGTTTATTTTTCGGTATAAGTTTCACTCAATTGATGGGGGGGAACATTCCACAATTGCACCCAATAGTGTAAGTGAAAATACTAAATAAATATATGTAGCAATAAAACTGACATTAATATAAGAAAACGAATAATATAATAATTTGAACCGTTATGGACTAATTAAGTCCATTTAGTTATTATCATTCATATAAATTTTGATATTTATCCTAATTATTGCTGTGTTAAATTTTCAGTATCAGTTACGTCCACATAACGGCGCAGAAGATTCGACAACTGAAAACAAAAATGTAAGTAAAACTTAAGGAAATAGCGAAAAAGTTTACGCAAAATTCCTAATCATAATATAAAGTTTTAGAACTATACAAAAATTCATTCATTCTAGTATGCTCAACAAATC